CTTTCTTAATCTAAATTCTTTGTTTCAGCACAAAGAATAGAAAATTAGGATGGTGTTCGTTAATTTCTATCGTACTTTTTTTTTTGTTGCAAGCATTGTGAATGACACTGTGATGTTAATCTATACTCCTTAGCCTTTCTATCGAATTCCTTGTCTCTTCGTCATGTGTTAAATTCTTATTCTCATTCTCCAAACATATCTTTGGGTTGATGATGATAGGTGCCAACTTTAGGCATTAGCTATTACAAACAAATCAATAGCTATCTGCCTCCAAGTTCTGACTTTATTCTGTTATATCCTTTCTCCAGAATCTTATAAAAGATGCTAGCTATTAGTTCTTTACAGGAGAAAAAAGAAAAGCACGGTGAAAAGAGGAAAAGGGCAAAGCAGTGAATCTTCAGGTCCCTGTATCAAATTGATAATATAATGTGTCATATTCCTAAATCCTAGCCTAAAATGTAATCAGCTTTAATAAAATCACATAATTCATTGTACCAATAATCGGTTATTTTGACTGTCTTGAGTGGAGGAAATTCTTGATATTTTCGCATGAGGTTCATATGACTGTGAGAAAACTATAGCAAGTGGACCTAAAACCTTTGCAGGGTGGATAGGAGATGTGAAAACATAATTTTAATTGATGTGTAAATTGAAATAACTAGTATTTTGGCAGCTTCTTTTCTTTGTACAATCAGAAGATGCGGGTCCTATATCCTTCAAATCTGTCTTTTTCTTTCAATTTGCCATTTAACAGTCTTTTCAATGCTAGTTTTAATTTTAATTAGCTTTATCTTTTCCTGGATATCTTGCTTGGATTAGATGCGGAATCCCCTGACCATTGGGGTCTGATTCTGAACCACTCTGATGATGTAACAACTGCTTAACTAGAAAATGCTTGCTTAATAATAATAAGAAATGAGACAAATTTTCTTTTTATTTATGTATAAGTCTTCCATACACAAAAAGTATTATTTTACAAAATGCCATTTAAAAGACAAAAACAGGGAAACAGTGTAGCTATTGTCCTGCTTGCTGACGCCCTCCGATGCATCAACACCTAGATCCTCCATCCACAAAGGAAAATGACGGGGTGAGCACAAAATATGCTCAGTGAGTAAACTCTCTATCTGTCTATCCCCAACCATGTTTTCTTAATTCTCCTCACATTTCTTTCTAGTGTTTCTATTAACGTTTGACCTCATTACCGGAGGTACGACCGGATGGCATTCACACAACACATCTCACTCTTCATGACTGTCGGGCGGAGTTCACACAGCACCAACCCGCTCTTAGTGACTACCGAGTGAGGACACAAAAGCATTACCCGTTTCCTAACTATCGGGTGGAGACCACAAAGCATCTACCCGTTTCTATGACTTTGGGTGACGATCACAAGCATCAACCCATTTCTAATGACTATCGAGTGACGATCACAAAGCATCAACCCGTTGCTACTAAATATGGGGACGATCACACATCATCCACCGTTTCACTAAATATCGGGTGACGATCACAAAGCATAACCGTTTCTAAATATCGGGTGACGATCACAAAGCATAACCCTTTACTAAATATCGGGTGACGATCACAAACATCAACCATCTCTAATGACTTTCTTACTCTAGCATTCTCATCTCTCTACCCGTAGAGTAGTTGCATTCACAAAGTTCTTACTCATAAAGCAAGTGCATACAAAGTTTTCTACTCTTCTAAGTCACTTCTCAATGCACAAATAATGCATATGGATGGTTCACTCTCACTAATGCACTTATGAAATGCCAACATGCAATGTTGCAAGAATTAAGGTTCACACTCATACTTAAACTCTACAGGATTTTCAAAACAATCAAGTGCATAACAAGACTATATATAACAATAATTCTATGTCTTTCTCTAACCATCCAAAATGGGAGAAAACTCCCTCACATAGCCATAAACCTGTCATAGAATAACACTTCTAAAAAGGATTTCTCAATATCCTTCAATTCCATCTCAAACTACATTCCCAACACCATCCATTCTCATAATCAAAGTGTATGAACAACCATAAAGCAATAATATCTCATTTAAATTATATAACAAGCATATCACATGTATATACATACACACATATGCAATTACTCTCTATTCAAGAAAGTTCTAAATCTCTACTTGGGTTGGGGTTACTTACCTTGTGGTGCAGAGATCTCACTGCTCTTCCTTTCTCTTGGTTGCTTGATTTTTCTCTACCTTTAAACAATTACACAATTCAACCAAGAGACCACAATATTCAAATATACATAAAATCTCACAAAACTTCACATCCAAAGCAAGAATCCTTACCTAGGATGTCTTAGATTGATCTTCTACCCCAAATCATCCAAAAGCCCTTTAAAATTCCTTGAACATTGGAAGAGAAATTGAGAGAAAGTAAAAAAGGAGAGTGGCGGGTGGAGAGAAGAATGAAGGGTTTTGCAAAGAATTAATTCCTTTAAAAAATTATGCACAAGCATTCCCATTTTGCCCTTACTCTTCAGGGAATTTCATCTATACCCTTTGATATTACAAAACACTCCCCAATATAACAATTCTCCAAGCAAAATCCTTACATTTTATCCCCATTTCCTACTAATTAGGGGTAGAATGGTCAAATTGCCTAGGAAGAAAATATCTAAAACTTAACCAACATTTTGGTCGGCCCGTCGCCGCGGCGAAAAAGCTTCTGTCACGCGGCGAAACTGTCCAGCAGCTTCCCCGGCTTCAACACCTTTTCGTCGCGGCGAAATTCTTCTTCACCTCGGGAAGCTGGAACACTAAACTTCTTCTATTTTAACCAATTTCAAGACAATATTCAACATACCACTCAACAAAGGCCAATCAAACCAATAATATTAATAAATCGACTCAAATAAGAACAAAAGGAGAAACATGGCTACGTACTCAAGTGGGGCGTTACAGATGAATAATGGAGTGAGTCTATCTGTGGTTTGTCCATTTAGCTCTAGGGCCTGAGGTTCTACATTTGGTTGAGCGAGGCTCTGCCTATGTAGGAGGGGCAACAGATCCATTGGTGGTGCTTGAAGCTCGGGATATGAGCAACAAATTTTCTACCACCTCACCTCTAGGCTCATTTTCCCTCCTTACACTCAAGGTGCTATCAAATCTTTACAAGTTGTGCGAGGTTGGCCCCGTTGACTCGTGTGCTGTCTCTCTAATGTGAATAAACTTTATTTCTTAAAGATAAACGCTTTATGCATGCATTATGAAAATGTCTTTAGAATTAAAAAACTATGCTTTGATATCAAGTTTATAGGACCATCCCCCCCTCGCTATCCCATAGATCCGAACACTCTCATGTTACTCAGGTGGATCGAGATGTGTCATGTGTAAACCCTGAAAAAACTACTCGTGATAAAACCTTCCTTGGAACTTTTTCATCAGCAAAATGATTTTTTTTTTTTTTTTTGGAAATAATCGAATATCTCATAGTACAAATACGAAATAAAGTAACTGATAACTTATAAATGATTTGAATTGTAAAACTAGTAACTCATACTAAAAACTCTCATCATAGCTAGTCCAGGGAATATCTATCATACCTAATGGGTTCAACACACTTGTTGAGCAGGGGAAATCTGTCATAACTGACAAGTTTTAACATCGCGAGAGCAGAGCAATGGACCATCCTACTTGGTGGGCAACTATTGCTGTAGAGCAACTAAATCTGTCATACGCATAAGCATAACTTGTGTTTTGGTTGCTAGAGTAGATTGTCGAAGGTTTGATTTGGAGTTGATTTTGGAAGTTTTGTGTTGTTGTTTGTGTGTTTGTGTTCATCGGTCGTCGGACACTCAGCTTCTGTCGTTTCCAACTTGTACACCACCTGTTCGACAAAAGGCCGCTTACACTAACTGTTTGGATTGAAAGAAATTTTAAGGGTTGGGTGGGTTTGGATTGAAGAAGGTGTTGGTGAATGAATTTGAGAGGTATAAAATATCCTGAAATTTTATTAATTTGGCTGGATAGTGATAGTGGTTGGCTGGCGGCAGTGGCTAGGTGGTGGTGGCGGTGGCGGTGGTGATGGCAATGGCAATGGCTAGGTAGTTGGAGATGGGGATAATGTAAAGGTTGAAGAATAGAGTGTTAATGAAATAAATTTGAAAGTAAGATGATTATTTTTCTAATTCGTATTCATTTGGGTGTTAAAAATTAATTTATTTGTCAATGACAGTATGGTAATAGCACTCACCGTATTTGTGTCCAAACTTAAAAATTGATAACAATGTTACCTTAAGTGTGCGAATTTGGAGTAAATAAAACCAGAGTAAAAACTTGTCATTTTGCTAATCTTTGGTGAGAACATTTCATCCTTACCAATCAATAAGAAATATTAACTTGACGTTTGCATTATATCAATACTCATTTACCATTTTACCCAAGAAACAATAAATTATACACACATAATCTAATTACCCCTTAAAAAAATCAGTAATGCTAGGCTTACCGACCCAGCGACCGATTTAACATACCAACTCTGAGTTAAATTTTGAGATTTGGGTTGTTGGGTAGTGAGTCGGTATATAAAAATTGGTATTTGGGTCGGTAAATACAATATTAGTGTAAAAAAATTTCCAGTCATGCACTGTGCTATCCAGTAAAAAGAGTACAAGCTTCAAGACGAAGTGAAAAAGTTTCCCAACTTTCAATAAATTAAGTATAGGAGGGCGACAGTACCGGACGTGAGAAAGGAGAGCGAAAATTAAGCATGGGAATTGGGAGCCACCAGAAAAAACAAACAGAAAATGATTTCATCTCAACGGCAAGGTCACAAACAACAAAACATAATTATGTTGTACTATGAAGTTCATCTATAGAAACACAAGTATTAAAAGAACGAGTGTATTTAGACATGGTTAAGGTACACTGAGCAACAGCCCAATAAGATGTTTATGCACCTTGCCCATATAAAGAATCAGGGCCCAAAACCTAAAACTATTTATACGAGATGTACTGCTGTAAGCCTGCAACTGCACTGAGTGGTTGATCTCTTATGATTTATGAACGTATTTTGACTGCGAATTGGAAAGTTCTCGGTTCTCAGTGCTCAATTTTCAGAGCTCAAATGGCGCCAACTGCCAGAGAAGATAATAAAAGTAACTCTCTCTTTTCTTTAAAATATACAAATGGAAGCAAAATTTGAAATTGAATGATGTTTTCGTCGAATAGCGTTGTGATGAATGGAAATGTGGAATTTTCAGGTTCCGCCAAACGAGTGGCTGTTGTAGGTGCTGGTGTTAGGTATGTTAACTGGTCTTTACATTGCTCTGGTTTTCAGTTTTATGTGTTTGTTAAGTTTTTATGTGTTTAAATTTGTTAATTCGTGTTGCTTATGCCTTACTTGAACTTAATTTTGTCACTTTAGACTGGTTAATGCATTTGTAGCTTAGATAAATCTTCTCCATTTTGTTAGTTTTATGAATGAAATTGGATATTAGAAAACTAAATAAATGAGAGCTCAATGTTCATACCGGTGAGGTGACGTCTACTGTTTTTTTGATAAAAAATCAGGTGCACCTGAGTCATTTCAGAATTAATTGGAGACTTTATGTGTTTTTGAAAGATTTCAGAGAGATCAGAAGTAATCGGAAATTTTTTTTGGAGTTTTTAACAAATTTTAGAATTTAGACGTTTTGGATGAATTTTGCAGTCATTATGGTTTACCTATATTCAATAATATATAGGAAAGGATTATCATATTAACCATGATGTATGATATATATGGACTCACCTATGTGAACTATGAAGCATATCATACGATTAATCGGTTCATAGATGTCTGTGAACATGTGGGTCTCATGTGGATTTACAAAATGAATAGTTTTGAATCACATGATTGTAAAAAATGAATCCCACACTAACTAGTGGGACTTATATAACACTTGGCACCTCTCAATTTATTCCTTTTGATTAAATGTAAAGAGTTGGAGGTGAACCCTTGATGTATCATGGGTTTCTCTATAAACTTATAAAGCTAGTCTCATGTTTATATTTTACATGTTAAGTAAGTTACCTATGATTTATGTAAGAAACATATACCTGTTTCTGATTTGTCTGATTGTGTGTGCTTTCTTTTTGGCGCTCAAAATTTGAGAATGACACTATAATATGATGTTCAAGTGGGCTTGCAGCAGCATACAAGTTGAAATCACATGGATTAAATGTTATAGTGTTTGAAGCTGAAGGAAAAGCTGGAGGGAAGTTGAGGAGTATTTCGCAGGGTGGTCTCATTTGGGACGAGGGAGCAAATACAATGGTAGATTTACCTATAATATACTACTTCTTTAGTTAAATACTATTTACTAGTATACATGGTTAGGAGGTGTTGTTAAGCAGTTAAAAGGTTACTATGAACTGTTAGTTCTGAAAATGATTGATGATATTCATGTATGCATGATGTGATGATGTTCATACATAGTGATGTGTGCGTTAGTCTTAATGATTTTTTGACACTGTGCAGACTGAGAGTGAAACGGAAGTCAGAAATTTGCTTGATGATCTTGGAATTCGGGAAAAGCAACAATTCGTAAGAGTCACCTTATTATCTCAAATTTATGACATTGTGAAGCTACAGTTTGTGTCATTTTGTGCTAGTAAATGGGGTTTTTGTTTTAACTTCATTTTTAAGTGTCAACTTTATTGCAATCATGTAGACTTTACAGTTTTGAATTCTGCGATGTGAATTTTGCTGCTTTGAAGTTGAAAGCTGGAAAGTTAACGGTCAATGATACATATATATAAAAGCAGCTCTCTCTTGACTATATTGATATTGTCTCCCCTTGCAGCCGATTGCTCAAAACAAACGGTACGTTGTGAGAAATGGGGTGCCCATTCTGGTATGTTCTGGTAGCTGCTTTTATGTTGCAATTTTGTTTAAATTTTTTAACATTAAGACAAGGGGACTCATTTTTATAATATTATATCTTTTTTTTTTTCTATATATATGAGCAGTCTATTGACCATAAGCTTTTGCTCAATTTTTAATGCCAGATCCCCTCAGACCCCATTGCACTTATCAAGAGCAACATTCTTTCTACCCAGTCAAAGGTTTGTTTAGCATAATGTGTTTGAGGTCATCCAGTAATCTATAAATTCTCACATGGAGTGGATTTCTGTGGTTACAGCTTCAAATCATTCTGGAGCCATTTTTGTGGAAGAAAAGCGATTCTACTGTAGTGTCTGATGCTAATGCGAATGAAAGGTGATAAGTTTATTTTATTAGCATGTTCAAATTATTTGAACTTCCATTTTGGCTAGTTGTCATAGTTGTAGCTTTCAAGGAAGTAAACTTCTTAGTATTCAGGTTTGCTATTTCTTCTCTTGCAGTGTAGGTGGGTTCTTCCAGCGTCATTTTGGGAAAGAGGTACTGCACTCTAGTAATTTCAATTTATGGTACTTAATTTCTCGGGTAATGTTATATGCATGTTTTAAAACATATGGTCTTTTGATTTTTCCAAAATTGTCTAGAGCTTCAAAATTGATGTGAAATATTTGATGTCTCGATCAAAATTTTATAATGTTTAATCTATGATTATGTTAGGTTGTGGATTTTCTCATAGACCCTTTTGTAGCTGGCACCAATGCTGGAGATCCTGAATCTCTTGTGGTGAGTAATGTCTCTGACGACCTTTATAAGTCTCATGCAAGGACCATAAAAATGGTTTTTTCCCCCTCTCTCTTTGTTAATATTAATTGCTGTACTGGCGAAGACTCTTGAGCAAAAATTTTATAATGCTAATGAATTTTTCTTATACTACCTGTTTAAGGTTGAGATGGGACATGTATTTGCAATATTGGAACTTTTCATACTAGTGAGCTGATCTTGAGCATGACATCTTGTCAGTGATAACATGGAGTTCTTGACTCTGATTCATTTTCATTTCTGCAGTATTTGTGTTGATTAACTTGTCATTGTTATAACAGATGCGCCATTCATTTCCGGAGCTATGGAATCTAGAGAAAAGGTTTATACTTTGTGCGACTTTCCTGATACTCCTGTACATTACTTATGAACATTGCTTATGTTGTTACTTTCTTGCAATTTTTGCATTTGGGATGCATTTCAACTTTGTGAATCACACATTTAATAGGCCATATGCAAAATAGATATTTTCATTTACTAAAGATAAAGATGATTATGTTCTGAGTATATTACTTTGATATTCTTGTCTCTAATGTGCTGCAGTCAGATGTGTTCTGTGGATATGGATCAATATTCATGAAAGTTGAAGACTGGTGGCAAAATTATGTTTTGTGTGGATGGTTTCATTTGTGGTTGCCCTTCATATGAGAAAGTTTTTGACATGTTAATATGTTGAGCCTTGACTACCAAACAATATAATTTTCTGATGATGGAACATGATTTCTTTGGCCTTTGTCATGCTATCTCCATTCTGTTCAAAACTTACTTGAGCTATTGAAGAATATGCCTATTTCATGAAGAGTTATATCCATGTTATTAGCAAATTTACCTGCAAAAACAGTTGCTTCTCTGTACAATTGTTACAGTTAATGACTTTACCATTTGTATTGAATGAACACTAATGCCAGAATTAGATTAATAAAATGTAACAGAGTGACACTCTTTTATTGGGTGCTTGTTGCTCAATTTGTGTTTATTTATAAGTTCCAAGTTCTCTATATCTTTTGTCAGATATGGTTCTGTCATAGCTGGGGCCATTCAATCAAAGTTGTCTGCCAAAAGGGATAAAGGTGTTGAAACAAAGGGTTCTTCAGAAAGGAAGCGTAGCCCACGTGGTTCATTTTCTTTTGTTGGTGGAATGCAGGTAGTGGTTTTAGTGCAACCTTTCTTTTTCTCAAGAGACTATGTAATTCATTGTTGTGGGTGATCTCACTCATGCAGTATGCTTCTCTTATATCAGTGCGTATTCATGAATTTCACTTGTCCAATTGTTTGTGATTCCACATTCTTTATCCTCTTAAGATTTGCAACAGAAAGATAATTGTTCACTGCCATTTTTATTTAATATAGAAAAGTGATGATATAATACTATTATGATTTTATTTAATTTTCTAGGAGCTGGCCTCACCTGTTCCATTTATCATTGAATTTTACCTCTAAGGTCATCACATCTATTGAATTACATTATCTTTTATAACCCAGTTGCAACTAAAATTCTTTTGTTTCCTCGTTTGTCCCTCTAGCAGGTGTCCTGAATCAAATCTGGCCTCTTTACTGATAATCTCATTGATTTTTGTTGCTGTTTTCTTGTTGTTTTATGTTCACTTTTGCAGACACTCACTGATACTTTGAGCAAAAAGCTTGACGAGGATGAGCTTAAACTAAGATCAAAGGTTCTATCATTATCTTATGGTCGTGAAAGGAAATCAGCATTAGAGAATTGGTCACTCTGTTATGCATCTAACCATGGCAAGCATTCACAAGGTTTATCTTTTGATGCAGTAATCATGACGGTTGGTATTTCTTTTTATTAGAGGAAGTGTTTTTCAGTTATTTATTTATCTTTGAATTGAGAAACTGGGTTTCAAAGTTGAGTAATGGTGTCAACCAGATAAGTCCCCACGTAAACCAGCCAATTAGTATGACTTATGTGTTTGTCTGTGATAAGAACCTGACTGATTCACGATCAACCAACTCAACTCACACAGAGAACAAGAATAAACACTGAATAATGCACTGATATTAATATTAATAATCTGCAGAACTGGATGTTCCAGTACTGAGAACTTTAAAGGAAAATGAAGAAGAACAGAATGCGGAAAATGAAAAGAAAAGAAAAGATAACTCTAGCACTTCGAGGAGCTAGGACCTTCCCAATACAACTTTGTGAATAATCCCATGCCCTGTACATCTTTCGTAACCTTCTTATACCCAATTATCTTAACAAACTTATTCTACTAGTTTGCAGGCCTAACAAACTCCTTTGCTAATCTGGTGCCACGGCTAAATATTCCTTTTTAAGCAGCTCCCATGTGGCCTTCTAATTCACTTTATTCATCCTCACGTACACCTTGCTGCTAGGCTGTGTAATTCCCTTGATGCCCTCCTCTGAACCTCCAGGAATGTTTAGTTTCCTATCAATAGCCTCCCCTAGGAGAGCCACCTTGTCCTCAAGGTGAAAGCTAGGATACTGATTAGCAATGACATCATATGGCTCCCATGTAGCTTCAAAAGAAGGAAGATCCTGCCACTGAATTAGGACCTCCTTAGAGCCATCCAAAAGAGTTAGAATAACCAGAACTGAAGCAGGATGGACCATTAACTCTAAGTCCTCAGTCAAGAAGGCCGGGAGAGGTTGGATAGGGACTGCTGAGTGCAAACTCTGCTTGAGTTGAGAAACATGGAAAACTGGATGGATTTTGGCAGTAGGAGGGACATCTAATTTATAAGCAACTTCCCCTATCCGTTGCACAACTGCAAAGGGACCATAGAAACGGGGGCTCAGCTTCTCATTGAATTTCTTGGATAAAGACTTGAATTTATATGGTTGTAGCTTGAGGTACACAAGATCACCCGGGTGGAAAACTACGTCCCTACGGTGGGCATTGGCTGTAGTTTTCATGCGAGTTTGCGCTGCATGTAGGTTGTCTTTAAGATCCTCCAAAAGAGCATTGCGTTCGACCATTTGCTGATTAATATCCTCCACAGCAGATCTAATTTCAGTGAATTTCAGGAGAAGTGGGGGTCCCGTCCATAAAGAGCCGTGAACGGAGTCATTGGTAGCACTGTGGTAAGAGGTGTTAAACCAGAACTCAGCCCAAGAGAGCCATTTAGGCCAGTGCTTAGCTTTGGAAGAGGTGAAACAACGAAGATAAGTTTCCAAGCAACGGTTAACCACCTCTGTTTGTCCATCTGTTTGGGGGTGATATGCCGAACTAAACTTAAGGATAGTCCCTGCCAACCGAAATAATTCAGTCCAAAAATGACTCATAAATACCTGATCTCTATCCGAAACGATGGATTTGGGAATCCCATGAAGACGTACTATCTCGCTGATGAAAAGAGTCGCAACCTGCTTAGCATCATAAGGGTGGCATAACAGAAGAAAATGACTATATTTAGTCAACCTGTCAACAACGACCAGTATAGTGTCATACCCACAAGCCTTAGGGAGTCCCCCGATAAAATCTATAGAAACATCATCAAATGCTAAATTAGGAATGGGGAGTGGCTGCAAAAGGCCGGCAGGTTTTAAGGCCTGATGCTTGTTCTGTTGACAGACGCCACAAGCCAGGACAAACTTTTGAACATCACGTTTAATGCCTTCCCAGAACGGTATGCTAGTGATTCGTTTGTAAGTTCAATAAAACCCAGAGTGCCCGCCACTTGGAGTGTCATGTAACTCATGGAGCAACCGGGGAATAAACTTAGATGTCATAGGGAGTACTAACCTGCCCTTGTAAAGGAGGCAGCCATTACGAAGAGAGTAATTTGGCCGAGATGACGCATGAAGTAGCAGATCTTGCACAACTATCTTGAGTTTTGGATCTTGGAAAGCCTCAGCAGCCAAATCTTCATACTCACTGAAGTGTGCTATTGATAGGGCATGCATGGACACAACTGTTTCCTGGCGAGACAAGGCATCGACACTTTATTGGAGCTGCCAGGTTGGTACTGGATTTCGAAGGAGGATCCTAACAATTTGGAGATCCATTTGTGCTGCTCAGGGGTCAGAGGTCATTGGTCCATTAGGAACTTGAGGCTGCGCTTGTCCGTCTTGATAATGAACTTCCGACCAAGCAAGTAATGGCTCCATTTGCGAACGGCGAAAACAATCGCCATGAGGTCACGCTCATAAACTGACTTTTATCGGGATGAGTAGGAGAAAGCCCTGCTAAGAAAAGCTACTGGACGACCTCTTTGTACTAGCACAGCGCCTATTCCTGATCCTGACGCGTCAGTGTGAACCTCAAAGGGCAATGAAAAGTCAGGAATGATCAACACCGGAACAGTCACCATGGCGTGCTTGAGAGTATCAAAGGCCTTTTGTGCTTCCTCACCCCAACGAAAGGAATCTTTCTTAAACAATTGGGTTAATGGGTGGCCTATTTGTCCATAATTCCGAACAAATCTTCTGTAGTACCCTGTGAGCCCCAAGAATCCTCGTAAGCTCTTTAAGGTGGGAGGAGTTGGCCAAGATAACATGCAATCAATCTTTGTCGAATCTGCCTCCACTCCATTCGCTGAGATTAAATGGCCCAAATACTCCAATTTCTCTTGAGCAAATACACATTTGTTTTTATTAAGGACCAGCTGGTGCTCCTGCAATGTCTGGAAAGCCTGTCTCAAATTCAGAATGTGAGTAAACAAATCAGCGCTATATATCAGAATGTCATTAAAAAAAACAAGAATGAACTTGCGGAGGAATGGCTTGAAAATGTCATTCATCAATGCTTGGAATGTGGAAGGAGTGTTAGTTAGGCCGAATGACATAACTAAAAACTCATAATGGCCTTCATGGGTTCAGAAAGCAATCTTTGGGATATCCTCATCTCGAACCCGAATCTGGTGGTAGCCCGATTTAAGGTCAGGTTTTGAAAATATGGATGCACCCCCTAACTCATCCAATAACTCGTCGATGGTGGGTATCGGAAATTTATCAGGAATGGTGAGATCATTCAAAGCCCGATAGTCGACGCAAAATTGCCAACTTCCATCCTTCTTTTTAACTAGTAAAACGGGGCTCGAAAAGGGACTTATGCTAGGTTGGATAACACCAGCTGCTAGCATCTCACCCACCAATTTCTCAATCTCATTTTTTTGAAAAAACGGGTATCGGTAAGGCCTAATGTTGGGGGGTTGAGCCCCTTCTCTGAGAGTGATGGCATGATCTCTTTTACGATGGGGGGGAAGAGTTCCTGAATGATCAAAGAGACTAGAAAAGTCGGTCAGAACAATCTCCACTTCCGGATGCAGAATTGGGGCCGAAACACTATCTAGATGAGTAACAGAACAGAACTCAATGACATATCCCTCCCCCTGTTGGTGTAGTGACTTGAGCATTGCTTTTAACGAAACCACGAAGGATCTCCCTGTAGGGTCACTGATTTTCCATGAACTTCAAACTTCATTGTTAAGCTCTTCCAATTAGAACACACATCACCCAAAGAACTCAGCCAAGATATTCCCAAAACGACATCCGCTCCTCCTAACTCAAACGGAAAAAAATCTTGACAAACTGTGATGCCCTGAATTTCTAGTTCCACTTCTCTACAAACCCCAGTACTCCTTACTGTATACCCATTCCCCACCATGACGCCAAAAGTCTTAGTATCATCCCTACCCAGTTGCAACTTATTGACCAGATCTTCAGAGATGAAGTTATGGGAGGCCCCACTGTCAACCAACACTATGACTCTCTCCCCTTTAATCTGCCCACGAAGCTTCAACGTGTTTGTTGAAGGTATACCTACAATGGAACTCATAGATAGGGCAATAGGAGTACCTTCGGTATGGGTCTCATCCTCGGGTTTCAGAATGGTTTCTTCCTCCTCAGACTCTTCATCAGCTGTAACATACAAAATCTGCAGTGTTTTATTCCGACAACGATGATTGGGGCCAAACTTCTCGTTGCACTTGAAACACAACCCTCTCTCTCTTTTATACTGCATTTCAGCGTCTGTTAGTCGTCGAAAATTACCCTCTCGAAGGTTTGTTGGTGAATATTCAGGTGGTCTCTCTCCCTTTTCAGATCGCGTTTGTACTCCACTGGTGCGTTCTGCACTTTTTGCGTAGTTGGAGCCCCAGCCGATTCTAAGAGGTTCTGGGCTAGGTGTAACTCGTGTATATGGTTGGTCAATTTTGTTTGGTTCAGTTTTAAAATTCCACTGACTTGCTTCAGCTTTAAAATTTCATTGGACTCGGTTTGGTTTAAATTTAGACTTGTCTAGGATCCAATTTCTTTCCTCTATCCTGTGGGCCTGGTTCATTAATTCAAAAAGTGAGGTGGGCCTAGCAATTCTTAGATCTGCCTTAATCTTCTCTTTTAGTCCATTAGTGAATGTGCCCATCAATAATTCTTCTCCTACCTCATTCATCGGTGCAGCAAACAATTCAAACTGCTCACGGTATTCTGTTACAGTTTCGGTTTGTTTCAACGCCACCAAGGACTCAAAAGCAGAACCCTTATAGGATGGCCGAAATCGTTCGATTAGTGCGTTTTTAAACGTTCCCCAATTTGGAAACGGAGCTCTTGAATCAGTCCACTGGAACCAATTGAGGGCCCTTCCCTCCATGCACACCGCCGCTGAATCCATCTTCTCAGCCTCGGAAATCTTGTTGATGTTGAAATACCGTTCGGCTCAGAAAGTCCATCCATCCGGGTCTTCACCATTGAACACAGGTAAATCCATCTTCCTTGTTTCCGATCATCTCCATCAATCGCACTACTTCTGAGTCGCTTTAATCCTCCGGTGTTTTCCGATTGTGCTGGGCTTCCTTCTTCATTAGTCATCTGGTTTCCTGATTTTTCTCCCTTATCTTTCCCTTGATCACCACTCTTCTCCTTCTCATCCCTCAATCGCATCCATTCTTTGAATTCCATGAGATACCCCTTGATACTGCCAAGGTCCTCCTTAACAATTCCTACATCTTTTTCCAATCCCTCAATCCTGGTCTCCATCCTCGTATTAACCATAAGGATTCCTTGGCTCTGATACCAATGATAAGAACCTGACTGATTCACGATCAACCAACTCAACTCACACAGAGAACAAGAATAAACACTGAATAATGCACTGATATTAATATTAATAATCTGCAGAACTGGATGTTCCAGTACTGAGAACTTTAAAGGTAAATGAAGAAGAACAGAATGCAGAAAATGAAAAGAAAAGAAAAGATAACTCTAGCACTTCGAGGAGCTAAGACCCTCCCAATACAACTTTGTGAATAATCCCATGCCCTGTACATCTTTCGTAACCTTCTTATACCCAATTATCTTAACAAACTTATTCTACTAGTCTGCAGGCCTAACAAACTCCTTTGCTAATCTGGTGCCACGTCTAAATATTCCTTTTTAAGCAGCTCCCATGTGGCCTTCTAATTCACTTTATTCTTCCTCACGTACACCTTGCTGCTAGGCTGTGTAATTCCCTTGATGCCCTCCTCTGAACCTCCAGGAATGTTTAGTTTCCTATCAGTCTGCATGCTAGCTGCTGAAAGCATAGAAAGCCTCTACAACTGACATTATTAGGAAGAAAGAAAGAGCTAAAATAATGTGAGTGCACACGCTGCTATTGTTGAATACTTGTCCAACTGCCAGAATGCATTGCACTGAAGAAAAGAAATGTTTGTCAAGAACAGAAAACTCTGACTTAGTGCACTTGTAACATGTTTTCCATTTTACTGACACTAATATATGGTCAACAAATACATGAACCAGTTAAGCATTTACATGCAAGTACATGCTTGAATGCTATCTGTAGACATTTTATTTAATTGTATGGAATCTTTTTCTGTCCTAGGAACATCAGGTGTAATATACTCACTTTACTTACTACACTTATTTATATTTGCGTTGCTAAAATTACATTATTCTTAAGCGACAGGGATTTTGATTTTGATAGGCTCCAGTATATAATGTCAAAGAAATGAAGATTACAAAACGAGGAAATCTCTTTCCATTAGACTTTGTTCCCGAGGTACTTATTCTAACAATTTGAGTTTAGCCTCTGCGCAAATCATCATCAATATTTTTGGAGATTTCAGCAATTGTTGGGATTTAGGCTTTTTCAAAGCTGTGGTTAAATGATTCATTTTACTTATTTAATTTGCAAAAGATAAAAGTTCGGCTCCATGAGGGCAGAGGTTGATTGTTCTGAAATGATATGGTCTCATGAAGCAATAGGCTGTCAAAGTTATTATATCTTATATGCTCCCATTATGTTAAAGTTGAAAGCAACAATAATGTATTTGCTACGCATCATGCAGGTGAGTTACTTGCCACTATCAGTCATCATCACCACCTTTAGGAAGGAGAATGTCAAGAAGCCTCTTGAAGGATTTGGAGTTCTTGTTCCCTCTAAGGAGCAACAAATCGGTTTAAAGACTCTTGGTAATGCATAGCTAAAGCCCAGTTCAAGGAATGACATCATTTTCCTAGTGCTTCTGTTACGAATATTCTATTTTATAGGTACACTTTTTTCCTCTATGATGTTCCCAGACCGCGCCCCTAAGAATCTACATCTTTATACAACCTTTGTTGGGGGAAGCCGTAACAGGGAACTGGCGAAATCTTCGACGTATGAGAAAATTCAGTGCTTTTGATATTCTACTTACTACTGGATTCCTGTTTTCCAATTTTTTTTGTGATTTTTTTTGTGGGCTTACTTATATATAATTTTGTGCATTTAACCTTTTGCATGTACTGGTTATTGTTTTAGGGATGAATTGAAGCAGATTGTTACTTCCGACCTTAGGCAGTTGTTAGGAGTGGAAGGGGAACCCACATTTATGAAGTATGTACATCATTTAATAATCTATGGATGTAGATATTTTATCTTATAACTTAAAGTACATTTTATGGCAGTCATTTTTTCTGGAGTAAAGCATTTCCCTTGTATGGGCGTAACTATGACTCTGTTCTAGAAGCAATTGAGAAGATGGAGAAAAATCTTCCTGGATTCTTTTATGCAGGTAACAACTCATCAGCTCAAAGATCAGCCAGCTAAAAGGCTGGCAATTCTGCAAATATTTATTCAGGGTTCTTATAATTCTATATACTTTTAAGGTTAGTTAATTCAGAGACAATTTCTAAAATCATATGAGCATATGTGGCTCAAATGTTCAATGCATTAACCACCTGATAGATTTCCGCTTCATCTACCTACTGTAACTCCCTTTTGAAAATAATATAAGATTGTGGAGAATAGTAATAATGGCCACCAAGGAACTCTACATGTTTGTCCTTAATAATTCCTTTTAGTTGTGTGTNTCTTTTAAATAGAAAAACAACTTGATATTCGGCTTTGATTATGCTCCTTACCATAGTAGGAATTGACCTTATCCTTCCAAGATTTACTGCACAACAAAAGGTATAAAGATATAAATGGGTATATTCTTTGAAACATCCATAAAAAATATTGGTCTTTTAAGATAAATGGTAATGGGTTTCAAATTACGCTACACTTGATTTTACATGGAACGCTTCTATATTATTGTTAACATGTGTAAAATTCAAACTGCTTTTAGTTTTAGGTTCTCTTTCCCTCCTATTAAAGCAGAAAGGGACCACTTCCATCAAAAGTGGTCCATTGCAAGTTTAAATGGTAGTTGCTAAATGCACCACATTGCTTAACCCTACAAATCATCAAAAACTTTTTAAAAAGTTACTATTTTCGAAGTACATCATTTATATTTTCAAACAAATAATTTCTTCCTTTGTCCTTCTGCTATTACTTTCCCAAATTATTAATCTTTAAGCCTTTTTTTATTTGTTTAAATTCATCATTTTAATTATTCTATACCCAGTTAAATTTAAGAATTTCTTTCTCGTTGTTCATAAAATTACAAAGTGATAAACTATAGAAATGGTATAAAAATAAGTGAAACTTTATTTTTCTCCTAACACAATTAATTTTTTTCAATTTCTTTTTTCTTTGAAATAAATATTTTATTTGTTAAAAAAAGAAGAATTTTGAATTAAGGTTTTACATAAGGATGCAAGTGCCGGGAAGAACATGAACACAAGAATTTAAAAAAGAACGAGTGTATTTAGATATGGTTACGGTACACTGAGCAACAGCCCAATAAGATGATTATGCACTTACTGTGAGTAACGGCCCATATAAAGAATAGTCACTGAGCTGTTCATAGATGTCTGTAAACATGGGGGTCTCATGTGGATTGACAAAATGAGTAGTTTTGATTTTTGAATCACATGACTGTAAAAAATGAACCCTTGATGTATCATGGGCTTTTCTACAAACTCATTGAACTAGGCTCATGCTCATACCATATACCTGTTTCTGATTGTGTGTGCTTTCTTTTTCGCTCGAAAATTGAGAATGACATTATAATATGATGTTCAAGTGGGGTTGCAGCAGCATACAAGTTGAAAGCACATGGATTAAATGTCATGACATTTTAAGCTGAAGGAAGTGCTGGAGAGAAGTTGAGGAGTATTTCGCAAGGTGGTCTCATTTGGGACAAGGGAGTAAATACAATGGTAGATTTACCTATAATATAATACTCTTCTTTTACTGCGATAATAGCGTGTCTACCAACCACTGTATTACATGCTAAATTACATCTACCATCGGTTCTGTTTTCTTATTTGTGGTCTGATTTTCATCTTGGTAGGTAACCATAGAGGTAGATTGTCCGTTGGCAAATTAAATATATCCTCTGGGTGCAATGCTGCTGATCTTGTAATTTCGTATTTGGAAAATTCCTCAGAAAACTAAACTAGACGCTCGAGCGAGGATCCTCTTTGTTGAGATGGAAGCTGTATTTCTGCTTTGTAGTGTGATACCTTTGTATTTTCTTCTTTTGCCACTTTCTATCTTCAGTTCTGTAGCCTGTACAATATAGCAAGAGATTTCAATTATAGAATGTGTGTAAAAATGTTCTTTCATTTGGAGGGAAAGTGAGAATGCTATTGTGCAAGACTTTTATTGTGAAAGATAAAAAGACCATTTTTAACGTCATGGTCTTCCATTCGATATTCTTGTTGAAACATTTTGGCCCCAAATCATAAAAATTCTGTTTACAACGTCTTGTTACAAATTCAGTAATTGATTGCTCAAATTCAGGTTACATTGACAGCAGTTTAGTTCCATTTCGTGGAATTTGATTGCATAAGGTAAAATGAGATTAATGGTGAGTTTGGGCTTATTCATTACTGTAGTTTCTTTCCTAATCACTTATTTCTTAAGCAATCACCCAAAGTGTGTTTGGTAAATATATTTCAAAATTTGATTATAACAATTAAAAACTATGCCTAAGACAGTTATGGTTAGAAAGACTTGCCTCAATTTGATTAAATGCATGCTAAAATAATTACTCTTTTAAATTTAAAAATTGATCAGGAGAAAGGTCCTCATATCGAACGGCTGAAATCTTGCAATAAAACCGAGTCTGGACATAAGTGTAGCAACGAGCGGCTTACTCATTCATATACAAAATCACTCCCTGCGCGAACTGTGGTGGCGAGAACATTGGTGGAGTTTGGGGTTCGATTTTAGCTTCTCCTATCTGGTGAGTTTCTATTATTACCAAATCCCATATTCCTAATTCTTTACATTAGCAATGTTTCGTTTCATATTCAAAACCCGGTTAGTTCAACAGAGAACCATAGACTTCAATATCAATTATTCTAATGTCCGGTATCTTCAGACTCTACAATCTGTAAACTCAATTGCAGCACCCACCGGAGACCAACAGTCTTTAACAGTCTCTTACCTTTCAAACGCATGTGGGTTGTCTTTAGAAAAAGCTATCAAAGCTTCTAAGCTAGTTGACATAAAAAACACTCAGAAACCAAACTCAGTTCGTCAATTGTTAAGGTCTCATGGATTTGCTACATCCCACATCACTAGTTTAGTTTCTAAGAACCCATCTATTCTGTTGGCTGACGCAGACAAAAATCTTAAACCCAAGATGGAGTATTTTGAATCGGTGGGAATTAGAGGACCTTTCTTGCCTAAGTTTCTATGTTCAGATAAAAGAATTTTGAAGTCTAGTTTAAAGAACCATATAATACCCACCTTTGATTTCCTTAGAGGCTTTGTCGAAACCAATGAGAATCTTATCAGTGCTTTGAAGCAATCCACCCGTGTCATTGGCAACAATGTTCAGAAGCATATGGGGCCGAATTTGAACACTCTAAGGGCACATGGTGTGCCTGAACCTCATATTGTGAGACTGATTATGTTAAAGCCACAATCGCTTCTTTTGAGAGCTGATATGTTTGAAAATGTGGTTAATGCCTTAAAGGAAATGGGTTTTGAACCAACTAGTATGTCTTTCATTATAGGTTTTAGGTCAATGACGAATTTTGGCAAATCGAAATGGGAAAGTAAAAAGGAGACTCTGATGAGCTATGGTTGGTCTGAAAGTGATTTCCTTTTGGCATTTAAAAGACAACCGATATTAATGCTTTGCTCGGTGAAGAAGATTAGGGTATTGATGGATTTCTTCGTGAAAAAAATGGGATTGAAGTCATCAGACATTGTTAGATGTCCTAACTTGTTGATGTTTAGTCTGGAGAGGAGAATCATTCCAAGAGTGTCGGCTCTCAAAGTTGTGATGTCAAAAAAGTTGTCAAAGAAGGATATAGATGTAGTCTGGTATTTAAATATGAGTAAAAAGGACTTCGAGAAAAGATTTTTGACCTGTTATATGGATGGTAACCCTGAAGTGATGGAGGCGTATAAGAGTTCGCTGGATTCTCGAGATTCATTTATTGGATTCTAGAACTAGACTCGTTGAAGCAATTGATGAGTTTCCCAGAATGTAAGCAACTGGTATGCGCTAACAATATTAAGGTTAAGCAATTGTTGGATTGGTAGTTGGTGTATTTTTATTTTAAGGTCCTCTTGTGTTATCTGGCCTTTCTACCGCAACTGACATGACCTGGGCATGGCTTATTGTAGTTTTTGTTTTCTGAAGATGAGCGTAAAAAATTTATTATTATTTACAAAAGCTTGGCTGAGAAATTTTGGATGAGTTGATAGATTGATAACTCAGCATATGCTTTTCTTTCATCAATGTGTTTTATATGCATAACCTGTTATTTTGGGATTGTATAATAGATTCGTTTATTAATTTATTTAGTCTACAGTATTGATGAGTTGCTTTGTATTGCAAAATGGTGTTTCACATGGTTGTTTAACTGAACCAATGAAGAGTTTGCAGTCAATTGCTCTACATTTTGGTTGAACTTTTCTATTCAAATATAGTTATCTTGTGCTCTTCTTTTTCAAAGAAAATTTGTTGTCTGCTAACTTTAATTCAAGACTACAGTTGGAAGGTACAATCAACTAATTTTTCCTTTGTATTGATTGAATGGTGACTCTGCTTTTTAGTTGGTTACCAAGGCTATAGATATGCTTTTCGTATTTGTACCTTGATACATTAGTAGGTTTCAAGTTTCTCCATTGATGCCCATGTGGACAGCTAGTTCCCCTATATGTACATCTTTTTATCTCCTTTCTCAATCTAAATTATTTGTTTTCTGTAAAAAAGAATAGAAAATTAGGATGGTGTTCTGTTAATTTCTATGTTACTTTTTTTTTTTTGGTTGTGTCTCTGTGTGTGTGTGTTTTTTTTTTTTTGGGGGGGTGGGGGTGTTTTGGGGTTGCAGCATTGAAAATGGCATTGTGATGTTAATCTTCGTTATGTCTTAACACTTCTTAGCCTTTCTATCGAATTCCTTGTCTCTTCCTCATTGCCCCAAACCTATCACATCCCGTATCATTGTGTTAAATTCTTCTCTCTCTATCTCCAAACAATATCTTCTTTTTGGGTTGATAGGTGCCAACTTTTGGCATTAGATACTAACAAACAAATCAATCAGTTTCTGCCTTACAGTTTTGACTTTAGAGGTGTTTGTCTGAGCTTATGAAAATTAGCTTATAAGCATTTGAAATTTTAAACAATTACGTGTTTGGTTAAAGTACTTATAAGTGACTGATAAATAGTTGACGTGTTTGATAAAATATGGCTTATAAGTATATTTTATTATAAAATGACTAAAAAATATACTATATTAAATAAGGGTATACTATGAAATTTCAAAATTAAACAAAGATAATATGGTAATATACTTAGTCAAACTAATTTATAAGTAGAGTGCTTATAAGAAAAAAAAAAAAAATCTCAACTTATAAGTTCAAAAAAGTTATAAATGAATAGGTCAGCTTAATTTTAGAGTTTATAATCTAGTTTGACCAGCTTATAAGCTTAAGTAAACACCTCTTTTATTCTGTTTCATTTCTCCGGAATCTTTTAAAAGATGCTAATGCTATTATGTTCATTACATTGGAGAAAAAAGAAAAGCACGGTCAAAAGAGGAAAAGGGCAAAGCAAGTGAATCAGTTCATGTCCCTTGTATCAAATTGATAATATAATGTTGTCATATTCCTAAATCCTAGCCTAAAACGTAAAATTTCAGCTTTATTAAAATCACATAATCCATTGTACCATTAATTCTGTTATTTTGACTGTTCTTGAGTGGAGGAATTTCTGGATATTTTCGCTTGAGGTCTCATTATAACTTTGAGAAAACTATAGCAAGTGGACCTAAAACTTTTGCAGGGTGGATAGGAGATGAGAAAACTGAATTTTTAATTCATGTGTAAATTGAATAATACCTAGTATTTTGGCATCTTCTTTTCTTTGTACGCTCAGAAGATGCCGACGGTCCTATAATCCCTTCAAATCTGTCTTTTTCTTTCACAATTTGAAGCCATTTTAACGGTCATTTCAATGCTGGTTTTAATTTTAATTTTTCTGCTTTTATCTTTTCTCTAGAAAACTAATTTTGTTTTGCTTGGATTAGATGCGGAATTCCCCTTGACTCATTGGAGTCCGATTCTGAGCCACTCTGATGACAAATTGAGTGAGTCTATCTATGGTTTTGTCCATATTAGCTCTAGCGGCCTGAGGTTCTACATTCGGTTGAGCAACTGGCTCTGCCCCTATGTTAGGAATGGGGGCAACAAGATACATAGGTGGTGCTTGAAGCTGTGGTATATGAGCAACAAATTCTTCTACCATCTCACCTCTAGGCTCTTTTCCCCTCCTTACACTCAAAGGTGCTGTCAACTCTCTCACAGGTCTCGTGCGAGGTTGGCTTCGTCGCCTCATGCTACCTTCTCTCCAATGCGAATAAACTTTCTTTCATAAAAATAAACACTATGCATGCATTATGAAAATGTCTTTAGAATTTAAAACCTATGCTATGATACCAAGTTGATAGGATCCGTCTCAATCCTCGCTATCTCATAGGACCCGAGCGCTCTCATGTTACTCAGTTGATCGAGAAGTGTCTGTGTAACACTTAAAAACTGCCGTGACAAAACCTTCCATAGAACTTTTCCTTATCAACAAAATGATTTTTTTTTGGGAAATAATCGAATTATCTCATGCTACAAATATGAAAACAAAGTAAAACTCATAACTGTAAATGATTGATACTGTAAAACTAGTAACTGATGCTAAAAACTCTCACAACACTAATATTTAGGGGGCGTTGGTTCAGGGAATGTTGGATACTAAAAAGTTAGATTACTTGAAGATTATAATGAATCTTTAGAAAATGGTTTGGTTAATTGGTGGATGTGTTATATTAATATGTTTGGTTGGGGGAATAAATTGGTGGATATGTTATTTAAATTATTGAATTGTCATCTAATATATTATTATTATATTATTTTTTAATATTGATTATTATTTGGATTATTATAACCTCCTTGCATTTAAAAACTTACAAGAACAACCCATATAAAAGTTTGGAAAATCAACAAAGCACCCCCACCAACCCAGCCACTGCTAGTCGCTGGCAACCACCGCAGCCGTCGATAGCTGGCAACCTAATGGCGCACGGAAGGCAGGAAATGACCTTCGTGCACCGTATGGCCATTTTCGCCAGAGCTCTGACCGAAAGGGCTATATTTGACAATTGACCGTTGACGGCTAGATTGATGATGGAACTTGCCTTTGATGGCCATATTAATCTGGCGGAATGGCCTATCGGCGCACGACGGTCGCCTTTCGTGCGTCTTTTTTGGCAGCGGTAGGCAGGTGGGTGCTGCAATTTGTTTTGAATTCAAGGGTAATTTTGTCCAAAAATTAATTAATTGGGTAAAATAGTAAAAGCAACATTCATGTAAATAAATTAAAAAAATAAGGGCATTATTGTCCTAAAATTTTATTAATAGGGATAGAATTGTAACAAAAAAAAAATTACCTTGGTAATCTTATAATACCTAAGAAAATAGAGGTAATCAGATTACCTCCAATATACTAATAGTAACTACATTGGTATTTGAATTATCAGAATCTTATATTACTGACAATCAAACACGGTAATCAAGTAATATAAGATGACATAACCTCAGTAATCTCACATTACCCCCAACCAAATGCTCCTTTAAGGGAATATCTGTCATACTAAATGGGCGTCTCACATACTAGCAAGGGCACACGAGGTGGCTTCAAATAAACAAAAAAAAAAAAAAAAAATAAAAATTTTATAGAACTTATTTATAAAACGTACCTAACTTGATCATAGTGATTTTCTTATGAAACACAAATGTAAAAACTTAAATTTTTCCACTCACCTTTCCTTGTACTTCCAATTCTCATAAAACTCCTAATCTCTCTCCCTTTTTATTCTCTTTGTTTTCGGCTTCTGCCCTTTGTTTCTCTTTTATTTTTCTTTTCAATTTCCTCTCTGTTGCCTTTTCTCAGTGTTTTGAAACTCGGACCGCAAACCACCAGCGTCTCCAGCCTGGTTCAGGTTTCAAGGGGGTTTTTGCTAGATTTTAAATATATAGGGACTAATTTTGAAATTTTAGGGGTATTTTATAATATTTCAAAATTTTAGGAACTAATTGGTAATTATTTTGGGTTATTTTGTAATATCTTAAAAATTTAGGGATTAATTTACAAAATTTAGGGGTATTTTTATAATATATTAAAATTTTAATATATTATAAAAATTTTAGGGACTAATTTATAATTTTTTTAAAAATATTTTTGTTGCTAGTGTTGTTGGTCCAATCGACCAGTCGGATTGGTCAACTTGAGAACCAGGTCCTTGACCGGGTAAAGGCTTGGTCTGGTTTTTAGAACCTTGTTTCTCTCATTTATTGCCAACTCCCGAAAGGAAAAAGTGAGAAATCTTGACTCCTTTATAGATTATAAGCTCCCAATTAGGCAACTCTTTATTTTTTTTGGAGCATTTAATGCTTTAGGCACATAGGTTCTCATTGTCTAATATCTTCTGAATCCGTTGGAGCATTCTTTTAGCTAATTTCATTTTTCACCCCAAAGAACTATAGTACATAATGATCATAATATTCTTAAACCCTATTAATATCACCTTCTTCTCTTCATCTTCATTTGTAAGACCCATAAAGATTGAATTCTTTCAATTAATACCCTGACCTTTAAGGGTGGGCAGGTCTGGGTACCCCCCCTTTTTTGAAGAAACTGGCATGTTCTTGGAATATGGAACCGGAACCGGAATCCGTTGGTTTGGAATCGAAACTTGAAAAATAGGTTTCCATTTCGGTTTCAGTTCTAAGTACCTAGGCAAATAACAAAATGGTTTCCATTAGTTTAAAAAATGACAAATAAACCTTTAAAAAATTACAAATACACCCCACTATTTTAATTAATTACAAAATGGCTAAGATATTATACTACATTTAATTAATTAATGATATAATCCACCATCAATATCAATG